CAACCAACCAACCAACCAACCAACCAACCAACCAACCAACCAACCAACCAACCAACCAACCAACCAACCAACCAACCAACCAACCAACCAACCAACCAACCAACCAACCAACCAACCAACCAACCAACCAACCAACCAACCAACCAACCAACCAACCAACCAACCAACCAACCAACCAACCAACCAACCAACCAACCAACCAACCAACCAACCAACCAACCAACCAACCAACCAACCAACCAACCAACCAACCAACCAACCAACCAACCAACCAACCAACCAACCAACCAACCAACCAACCAACCAACCAACCAACCAACCAACCAACCAACCAACCAACCAACCAACCAACCAACCAACCAACCAACCAACCAACCAACCAACCAACCAACCAACCAACCAACCAACCAACCAACCAACCAACCAACCAACCAACCAACCAACCAACCAACCAACCAACCAACCAACCAACCAACCAACCAACCAACCAACCAACCAACCAACCAACCAACCAACCAACCAACCAACCAACCAACCAACCAACCAACCAACCAACCAACCAACCAACCAACCAACCAACCAACCAACCAACCAACCAACCAACCAACCAACCAACCAACCAACCAACCAACCAACCAACCAACCAACCAACCAACCAACCAACCAACCAACCAACCAACCAACCAACCAACCAACCAACCAACCAACCAACCAACCAACCAACCAACCAACCAACCAACCAACCAACCAACCAACCAACCAACCAACCAACCAACCAACCAACCAACCAACCAACCAACCAACCAACCAACCAACCAACCAACCAACCAACCAACCAACCAACCAACCAACCAACCAACCAACCAACCAACCAACCAACCAACCAACCAACCAACCAACCAACCAACCAACCAATAACGTGTACCCCAAATATTACAGTTCTACCAGAATCTAAATAATATGCAACACCGTTCTATTCAATAAGTTACAGTCAACACTGAGCCAAATAATATATTAAAATTAAAAAAAAAAAAAAAAGAAAGAAAGAAAAGTTATAGGAAACCAATAAAGAGGATCCCGTCTTTAGACATGTTTTTTGCAGGACAAGTCTTGGTTTTGCTCTCGCTTCCAGCTTTCCAAATTGTTCTCCACTTCCATAATAAACCTTTACAATATCATTGAGCACCAGCTAAAACCTAACCAACATTGCTGGAATAGAATACAATAGCAGCAAATTTACTTATTGATGGAAGAGTCTGTTCTACTGTCGTCCATGGCAGAGAAGATTTGACAGCACTGCCTGCTAGACACAGTAGTACTATTTTCAGCGAATGCAGTCAGAATAACGTGCAGTAAGGGTGCTGTAAAGAAATAACACAGTTATTTTGGGCCTTACACGCAATTTTTAATCTAGTGAAAACTAAAAATACCTTATTAATATGGGTTGCTAAGAAGTCCCATGGGGCACAAAAGAAAAAACAAATGAGAAGAACATGAGCCGCTTCTCATCAATTTCCACGCACTTTTCATCAATTTGAGAAATCCTTTTTAACCTTTTTACCTATTTCCAAAACATTTTTTATTCCAATCCTGATATTAACCCGTGCCTAGAATTTGCCTAATAATAATAATTATGCTTTGGAAGACATGAAATTACTTGAACAAACATCTTGATGGTCAACAACGTAAATTGTCAAGTTGGATAGATGTGAATTATATTAACACGAGTATGGAGCATCAACATGTCGGGAGCAAACATTAAATATTGTGCTATTGTGAATAAAATTGTAGCCAAATTGCATATTGTAATGAGACCCACATTAACAATTATATGTAGAGGATCCTCCGTCGGATACTACTATCGGGTGTAGGCGTGTATCCAAGCATCAGACCTTCATAAATTTAGGTAGTGTTCGGTTCACTCAATGATCATTCTATTATATTTAGTTACAAAAATAATAAATAATATATCATACAATTTAAATATAAAAGCAAATCCACATCACAATATAAATAATTTATATGTATATATATCCATTGTAGCTTTATAAATTATTTACACATTTAGACAAATCCATAACCCTTGTATGATGTTAATGAAATTCATATACCACAATAGTTACACAGTTGACCCAAAAATCCTGTTGACCAAGTCCACGCTCCTCCGTACGACGTCGCTTTATTACCTGAAAACACAAACGTGAGCTAGCCGGCGGGTGTGTGCCGGAAACCTCTCCGATGCCTAAGTCAGAAAACTTGACAAATAGACAAAGCTTTAAGTTCTCAGAAAGAATTGTGTTCAATTACCTCCTCCAAGGTGATGTTTATGGGCTTTTATAAGTTTCCCGTGGCACAATCCTGGTAGGACTTGTATTTCTCCATGCAGAGTCCTCCTAGGATTCATACTCCAAAGGATAATGCTTATCCTTTAACACCCTCCCCCACTGCTTTAAACCAAGTGGGATGGTTTTCTCCATGGCCGAACTTCCATGTGACCGAAGTAAAATTGGCTATGCCGAGCCACAAAGGGCCGAACTGTCCTTAGCTCGGTCTTCTCCTCTAACTTCTTACCTCGGCTGTCCCTGTTCAACCTTGGTGTGTTTAGATCAAACTTCCAAGTAGCAAGCTCTGACCGACCTAACCATAGTATGTCACGACCGGACTAATTGTAAGGTCGGACTTACTTCAAACTGCCACTGGACTAATTCTTAGACCGGCCTACCTAGAACATACTGCGACCGGACTAACTCTGAGACCGGTCCAACTCCAAGTCGCCTCCGGACCGGAGTAGCTTTACTCTTCCTCGGGCCAAAGCAACTATCCCTTCTTAAGCCGGAGTAACTACACTTCTCAATTTTGGGCCTCAAAGCCCAACTTCCAGCTCGGCCCAATTTTTCCCAAAAATTACCCTCTCAGTAACCATGAAAACTAGAGACCAGAGCATGTTGGGGACCTGGAGACAACATATATATGGTGGTAACCGTGCATATGATTTTACATGAATAATTTAAAAATAAAATTACTAAACATAAATGTGTTATATAATTTTAAATTTAATATTGTTCGAATTAGTTTTTTTTTTTTTTTGAATGGCCTTTTGATAACTCAAAAATAAATAAATAAATAAAGCAAAACAAAACGAAAAAAATAATTCAATTAAAGGCAAACTATTAATAAATCTTAATAGTTGAACTTAATTCTCACCTATTAAAAATAAGTCCTAATGAAATTGTCGCTAAAAATTATTTTTGTAATGATTTTTTTGCATATATCACTAAAAATTGATAATTAATGCCTTTTTTTATCATAGTTTTTATAAACTTGCAATTAGTAAAGTTTTTCTATGATGATTTTTTCAAACTGTCGCTGAAAGTTAAAAATTAGTGAAGTTATGATTTTTTAAAAATGTCACTAAAATTTATAATAAGTGACATTTTTTGTAACAAAATTTTCAAACTGTCTCTGAAAATTAACTATTAGTGATGTTGTTTTAATAATGTTTGATGAAAAATATTGTTAATTATCATAAGACCTATTGAACAAAAAGTCTACCAATTAAGATCTACTCATAAATCTCCCTTCAATTAAATAAACAAATAAACCAAAAGAAAAGTTACAATTTTTTTCTTTTAGATCGGGAAAAAAAGTTACAGTTAAATATCAATAAGTACATATAATTGAGAACTATGTTTTGATATGAAGGAAAAAAAGTTAAATAAAAAATTTTATTGCCAACCGACAAACAAAACAAAATAAACGACTCAATTACTAAAGTTTCTTATCAAAAAATAATAACAATAATAATACCAAATGTAGAAGATAAAAAAGTATTAGAATTGCATAAAGATACACAAAATTAAATGTTACGTAAAGACATACAAATCCCAAAACTGCATGAACCCGTCACTAAAATATCCTCAAGAGATAAAATTTTAAGCACAAAAATATAGTGATTTAGGTTAATGACTAAGTTAAATTAATTTGAAATTCTCAAATAAGAGAGAATTTTTTAGTTTGGTGGGAAATTCTTACACATTTTTTTTTCCCGCAATTTTGGTACATAATATTTAACATTGATGCAATAAAAAGAAATTGTAAAATTCAAAATCTTTCTAGCCATCAAACTTGGGTATTATATTAAAAAACATAAATTTATGATGTCACTTGCAAAAAAAATAATAATTTAGATAAAAATCATAAATATGTGAAGTGAGAGGGCAATTTATGATCTGGAGTTGGGCCGAGGTGACGGCCGAGCAGGTTGAGGGCACAACGGTGTAATTCTTACACATTTTTTTTTCCCGCAATTTTGGTACATAATATTTAACATTGATGCAATAAAAAGAAATTGTAAAATTCAAAATCTTTCTAGCCATCAAACTTGGGTATTATATTAAAAAACATAAATTTATGATGTCACTTGCAAAAAAAATAATAATTTAGACAAAAATCATAAATATGTGAAGCATTTCACTCATACCTAAAATAATATAAAATTCTATATATATAAATAGAGAGAGAGAGAGAGAGCAACATGGGTTAATCGCAAGAGACCAAGATTATTGGGTCTGAGCTCAAAAAGTAATTAAGAATTAATAATTTAGTATTCATGTTGGTAATCAAATCTCTAGACTTGAATACAAATGATCCTATTTGATTTCGTCAATAGTTTTGCATGTGTTTACAATCAATTGAAACATAATTGTCTATATAGAAGGAGAGAAATGTGAGATTAGATAATGTATATTATCTTTATATATTCAAATCTAAAATTAAATCATCTTTATTTTGAATTCTCGTTGGTAAGTTTATATAGATTATTTTTAAGATTTTCAATTTAAATACTTATTAGTTTTTCAATAACTTCTTTTCTTTCTTGTCGATAAGTTTACATTCGGATTATTATTATTCTAAAGCAATTAAATTATTAAAAAAATAGATAAGCTACTAATAGGTCATAATAGTTAGATTTAATTCCAATCAAGTTCTATTAAAAATAAGTACTAGTAAATCGTCGCTAAAAATAATTTTTTGTAACAATTTTTTGCATATGTCGCTAAAAATTAACAATTTGTGACTTCTTTTTTTTATTTTTTTATCACGATTGTTATAAATTATCACTAAAACTTACAATTAGTGATGTTTTTCTATAACTATTTTTTCAAATTGTTGTTAAAAGTTGAAACTTAGTAATGTTTTATTGTGACAATTTTTTTTTAAACTATTGATAAATCTTATAATTAGTGATTTTTTGTAACAAAATTTTCAAATTGTCACGAAAAATTAACAATTAATGATGTTTTTTAATAGTGTTTGATAAAAAATGTCATTAATTCTCACAGGACTTATTGGACAATAAGTCCACATATTAGAACATATAAGTAGGTTCTCTTAAGAAAATAATTTTTATTTTAAATGGAAGCGAGGGAAGATGAGTGATGAGTTGAAACTTGACTTAGAAATAAATACTGCATAATTTTTTAAAATTTTAGATTTTATAAGAAATTAGGAATGAAGATTTGAAGGCCTATAGATTTTTAATTTAAATACTTTTGAATTTTTGGACCAAATAAGTGTCACGTAATTTTTTTAAAAGAAATTTTATTAAAAAAAAATAGGAATGGAGATTTGGACGCCTATAGATTATCAATTCAAACATTATTGAATTTTCGGATAATTTTTTTTTTCTTTCTTTCTTGTTGATAAGTTTGTGTTTGGATAATTATTATTCTAAGACCATATTATTGTTATTAAATTATTATAGAATAGAGTTTTATTTTAACAACAATGATTTAAACCACTAAAAAATACACCACTAATAGCACTAATACATTGGGAATGACAAAAAAAAACAAAATAAAATAAAAACAAGACATAGAAAGTGAACGGGACCCACTGTCACATCATTAGTGCTCCTTCTAGTGATCTTTTTTTAGTGCTCCCAAGTATTTTTTTTTATTTTAAATGGAAGTGATGGGAGAGGAGTAAGCATGAAACTTAGTTTAAAAATAAGTGTCACATAATTTTTTAAAATTTTAGATTTTATAAGAAATTAGGAATAGAGATTTAGAGGCCTAAGGGGAAACCAACTACATTTGTTTATACATATACTAGCGGTAACCCGTGTGATGCACGGAAAAATAGACTATATATATTTTGTGTAATAAATAAATTATTTTAATTTTAAATTATATCTTAATAGCAACAAGCCATAATATTAAGTCATCTAAGTAGATGTTAACAATAATTAACCCACAAAATTTTACAATAAAATTTGATATGCATAAGAAATTATTAATTATAAAAATTGTTGAGAATAATAGTATCACAATCACTTGATAACATAAATAACTTGTATCAAACTAAACAAAACATTAAAAGAGAGAAATTCCATAAGCTTAGAAAAGTTATCATAAATTTACTTAAACTTTTAAATCAGTGGTGTATATTATTATTGTGGGATCAAATTATGAATAAATATCAACTTTTAATTATAATTTATAAGTAGTTTTTAAAAAATTTTAATCTAAGTTTGTTGCCTTACTTATAAAAAGAACTTATCAAACAAATCATTAATTGATTATATTAGTATGGATAAAATATAATACTATTTTTACATTTTATTTTTAATTCCTACTTAAATACAAAAATCAAATACAATTTCAAGATTCATCTAATAATGAGTAGAATCACATGCCCTTTTGTTTCAATACTATAACTGGACATTACTAATTAAGAATGCCATGCATTGATATAATTTGCTGACTTTAAGATCTTTTTTATACTCAAAACTATTAATTAATTATTTTTTACTCAAACCCTCAAATTACTTAGCTGAGTTGAGTTAGCAATTTCATCGTCTCACTTAAAAATAATTGATATTAGGAAGGATTTTTTTTAC